ACATAAATTCAGTTCTTATATTTTTCCTTCTTCATAACGTAATCTATAGTGCAGATTTTGTTATGAAAGGATGATTCTTCCATGCGGCCCCAGTTAAAGTTACCTGCAGCCAATCTGTCACTCTCCACCTCCTGTACCAGTTTCTCCCAGTGGCAGTGGAAGCATTTATATAAAGAGGGTAACATCTATCCTCCAGTCCCTCTGCTGGTCCCAATCTAAGGGTGTAATAATATTGCCTTTGAAAAAATCTGAGAGTTGTCTCAGTCTATTATTGTCTTGATTCATGTCATGAGCTCACTGGACTGGGTTGATTCACCACTCTTTGAATCACCTTAAATAGACTGAGGTTGGCACTTTGATCCACCCATGCGTCTGTCCTGACTCCATCCTTGTCCGCTACTCTATTATCTGGAGCTTATGTTTTTTTCTGAACATTTACAGTGGGAGTTTCTTTTGTGGTTTTTGTTCCTTCAAATTAGCGAGTCTTTTTTCCCTCTCTTTTATTCCAAGTGACATAGCGCTGGATCAGTGTTGCAGATAATGCATTTTTCTGCAATTGAAGCTTCCCTTTCATCTCCTTTGACAATCTGCTGTTAACTATAGATCTTTTTGTGCAATAGGCTGGCAAAGCTTGGAAGTGCAAGAATAAAGAAAGACAGCAATTAAAAAAATATCAAAAAATGCAGACGTAACAAAAGGAAAGAGGGAAAAGAAAAAGGAGCTGCACAGTGGTTATGTGGAGCCTCATGACATTTGGGAGAGAGGAATCAAAAAAATTTTATTTAAAAAAATACCATAAGTGGTGACATTGTCAGCCTTTATGGGTGCAACTTGATTCTTTTAATTTAATTTAATAATTCTGTATATTTTCCCAATCAGCATAATATGGCTATAAAATAAGTTTCCAGTTTCTAGAGACGGTGAGCAAAGTGCTGGTAGCAGGCATACACAACCTGTTGTCTGGAATTCTTTCCATTATTCCAACCATATTTTATGATTACCATCTTGAATAGAAATCAGGTGTGAATGTGATTGTGTGTTGTAAGAAGGCAACAGGAAGAAAGCAACAGAATAATCCTGACTGTTGAGAACAGAATTATATTTAAGCAGTTATCTGGTCACCTTTGGCGACCAGAAATTTCAGCTAGGCGAGTAGGCAGGTTGGTGGAAGAGGAAGGAAAGACATAACTCTTTCTTTGTACCCCAAATACTGCTAAAAGGAGAAGTTCCCCCACTTTGCATCCAGCAAAAAAATGCAGTGGACCTCTGGAGGAGAAATGGGAGCCCTCGGTGGGGTGCTATCTAACATTGCAGGGCCTGTAACTTTTTCCGCTGTTATTTGCAAGGATCATCCAAGAAGGCGATGTTTTTCAAGTTTCTTTTTGGCTTCCATGATTTGATAAGGAAAAGGCTACTGAGCATCAGTAATGGCTCGACTGAGCCTTGTTCTATGGCTGATACATTAGTTCTTTGAGCCATCAAAGGGCCTGGAAGTTAATCTGAGCTCTGGTGAAACCAAACTGTCCAACTGCATCAAAGTGAGTGAGTCCAGATGTATTGGTCCCATCTTACTGATTGTAATCTGTTCATATCTGTAATATGCAGGAGCCTTCCATCTGCCAGTGTTCCCTTGTATAATATTGCCTGTTGTTTCCTGTAATTGACAGAGACATTACATTCTCCTCTTGATTGCATATACACCTATATTTTGCTTTTGATGGATTCTTTCTGTGTGTGGCGCTGAGGGCTAAACCGCAGAAGCCTGTGCTGCAGGGTCAGAAGACCAAGCAGTCGTAAGATCGAATCCACGCGACGGAGTGAGCTCCCGTCGCTTGTCCCAGCTCCCGCCAACCTAGTGGTTCGAAAGCATGCAAATGCAAGTAGATAAATAGGGACCACTTCTGTGGGAAGGTAACGGCGTTCCGTGTCTAAGTCGCACTGGCCATGTGACCACGGAAGATTGTCTTCGGACAAAACGGTGGCTCTGTGGCTTGGAAACGGGGATGAGCACCGCCCCCTAGAGTCGAACACGACTGGACAAAAATGGTCAAGGGGAACCTTTACCTTTTACCTTCTGTGTGTGTAATATTTGGTTTGCTTTTTTTACTGGCAGATACAACCCATGGCTAGTTATTAGTATGTTCTTGGTGACTGCCTTCAGATGATTTATCCAAAGCCATGATCCACTTCAGTATTCCCAAAGATAAGGTACCTTCTGAACTGGATTCTAAGACTCAGTGGTACTGAGGGTGATCCTATCCTAGGTCTTGCCTTCTGGATCACAGTTTTCCCAGATTAATCAGAAATGACATTTTTCTTCGTGTAGAAGGACAGAGAACCTGTGGCCCTTTAAACGTTGCTTACTACAGTTTCCATCATCCCTAACCATTGGCTAGGCTGGATAAGACTGATGGGAGATGAAGTCCACCAACGTCTGGAGGGCCACAAGTCCTCTATAGTGGGTGCCCACTGGAGGAGGTGGGGCTCAGAACCACGTTAGAACCATGGAACGCCTGTTGGGCTGATGGCGGTTCATACCCATCTCTAGTCAGAGTAAAATTACTTCTGTCTTTGCTGCTCTGACTAAATCTGACCCCATCCCAATAAGGGCAGGAGGTTCTTCCCTTTTCTAACAAGGGTAGGGAACATGTGGCCCTCCAGATGTTATTAAGGTGCAGCTTTCCTCAGCCCCGTATAGTACCGCCATCATGAGGGGTGCTGGGTTGCATTACAGCAACATCTGGCAGGTTGCAGGCAACTTTGTTATTCAACCATAGTTTAATACATGTCGAACTATGACTGCCATCAATTGTAGGGACTGAGGCACAAGTTCCTTCACATCCACAACCCTGCAGGGTTATTTATTGTCCCTCCTCTCCATCCTCCACTTGGTGGTGTTGTACTCCTGAGGAGTCCTCACTCTGTTTCACTTCATTGCTAGAAAGGTCTGTAAGCGAAACCCATGTGAACTAATTATGTGGGGATTTGTTGTTCTTTAGTCGTTAAGTCGTGTCTGACTCTTGGTGACCCCATGGACCAGAGCACGCTAGGCCCTCCTGTCCTCCACGGCCTCCCGGAGTTGGGTCAAATTCATGTTGGTCGCTTCAATGACACTATCCAACCATCTCATCCTCTGTCGTCCCCTTCACTCTTTCCCAACATCAGGGTCTCTTCCAGGGAGTCTTCTCTTCTCATGAGATGGCCAAAATATTGGAGCCTCAGCTTCAGGATCTGTCCTTCCAGTGAGCACTCAGGGTTGTGGGGATTCGGCTTGTTCTATTCAGAGCCAAATGACAACTTGTCTCCTTGTAGGAAGTGGGAGTTTTTTAGAAGAGCTGGGCAGCAGGAGCTAAACTTGGCAATGAACGGATCCAGGCTCGTTTCGAGAGGATGAGGTAAATGAAAGGAGTCAGAGTCAGCAGCTGCTTATTGTTCAATTTTAGCAAAAACCTATGGCAAGGCAAATGCAGTCTCTTGCTTGTCCTTTGATCAGAGTATTAATTTTTTCTTGAGAGGTCCACTGAGGTGGGTGTCCGGTCTGAGATCCAGAGGGCAAAGCCACTGCCGTCGGGAACATTTAAGGATCGGGAGGTGTTTCTTTAAGGGGAATTCGGTAACTGATCCCCGGTCCTGTGTATGTGTGCATCCATGTTCTTCGGTAGTGGGAGAGTTTGGCATTTCTGCTTTTCAGTAAAACAAACACAGAAAAACCTATCAGATTGAGGAGTTTCCCTTCTCCGAAACAAAACAGCTTAAGGCAGGCTTGGGGCACCCTCTAAGAAATGGGTGGGCTCCAATTCCCATTGTAGAAAGAATGGCCAATGGCCACCGATGACGGGAGCGATAATCCAGCCGCAGCTGGAGGGCGATGCCATCCCCATGCATTATTTAAGGTAATATTTGAGTTGGGAATATGGGCTCCTTGGTGCTTTATAAGACCTTCACACTCTATGTTCCCATTGTACAAAGATAGGCCAATGGCCCACAGATGACGGGAGCGATAATCCAGCCACAGCTGGAGGACGATGCCATCCCTATACATTATTTAAACTAACATTTGAGTTTGGAATATGGACTGTTTGGTGCTTTATAAGACCTTCACACTCTATCCTGCTTTAATATCACTGAGAAAGGCAGCGTGACCCACCAGATGGGGATTGCATGGCCATCGTTCCCAACTGTTGGCTGAATGCGAATCCCGACCTCTAGGGTAGGGTACCCCAGAGGAGAGCCTGGCTGTCCGGAATTATAAAGAAGACATACGGCAATGTTTGGTTGTGTCAGTGAAGCCCATTCCTTCTATCTTATCCCCCCCCCCCCGTGCTCCCACTGTGTCTTGTCCTGCTAGAGCAAATGACTTCCTCTCTGGAGTCTGTAAGTCAACCTTGTCTTTCTTCTTCTCTTGTTAGGGTGCAGTCAGCTTTTTCTTCCCCCTGACCCCCCCTTTTTTTTAAAATAGTGAGACTGCCTTTAACTAAATCAGCAGTAAGTTGTGTTGACCGGTGCTCAGCAGTAGGGAGAGGATTAAACAGGTAGGCAAAGCACTGTTGTTGTTATTTTTGTTCCAACTCTCCTTTCCTCCATCTCCATAGCAATACTGTTCCGTTGCTGAGCAGCAGCCCACCGCCTGCAACCAGACCACACGCTTGCCCTTGGCCGGGCAGCTTGCGCCCAAGGTTCTTTGGCCCTTCTGTCCTAATGTTATCTCTCTTTGAGGATCAGCTGCAGATTTGCAGTGGTTCTTTTTTTCCCCCCTGCCTTCTGACGCTCGGCCTCTTTGATCCCAGTGCAGCCACCTCCGGGTGCGAGTGGATCGTCTCCTCTGGAACCATGGCCAGGTCTGCCTCTTAAAAGACAGTCTGGCTCCAAGCTCCCGGTCACCGCTGAGTTTGGGTTGTGTGGGACGGATCTGCAGATATCAATCATTCTTCTCATCTTCAGCCCAAGCTTGGAGGTAAACAGAGTTCTCGGAGTCCTTCTTGACAGATAACTTTTCAGTCTCCTCCTAAAACCAAGAGCTGGAGAGAGTTGATGATTAACTGCTGGTAATATTTTCTTCTTCTTTAAAGCATGCAATCTACCTGCCATCCTCATTAATACCACTTATATACCGGGCTAAGCTCTTCCAGCAGGTATTTAGTCTTTAATATTTACTTCTGGGGTTAGTACTTAGATTTTACTGCTGGGTCACATCATTTTACTATCTTGACATGCTCTGTTTTGGCTGTTTTACCTTGTTTGTGTTACAGTTACTTTTTTTTCTAAAGCACTCCAAAGTCATGGACAATAGGCTAGTAAATA